GGTTGTGTTGTCTCCATTTCATGCTCTGGTTGTTTTTTCTTTAATGTCTGGAAGACTGACAGACGCGTGGTGCCACTTCTGTTCTTACAGGTGGAGCCTCTTTGGGAGGTGAATATTTACCTTGCAGCTTCTAAAACTTAAGTATTATTGTTTGCCAAGCTTTTTTTGCTCAATTATCTTGGAAGCTAAAGTCAATTAAAAATCAGAAGCGTGCCCTGATGTGATCGCAATAATACTTTAATACAAACCAACAATTTCACGGTTTAATCTTTAGCAATTAGAAGCTTTTAATTATCATATTCTGCAACTCTTGACGGGTTTAAAGTTTTATTTTCACTTACGCTTGGTTTTACTTTGTATGATTCGGCCTGATACTGGTGTAGTTTTAAATCTTAATGCCTAAAGAAGTGGTCTGAATCTGCGAGCTGGTGTGATATTTTATTGTTTGGGTAAATAAGTGCTGACGAACCAGAGAGCCCAAGTGTGTGTCTGGAGTAAAACTAGTGATTGCAGCCGAGATGATGTCACGTTTGTGCAGAATATGGTATTTCTCCAACGGTTTGAGTCCCTTACGCTCTAAGGGGAACGCTGATAATTTAAAAGCTGACTGTATTTTTAGTTATGACACAGTATGTGGTTTGTAAAGGTGTTTATCTGCAGTACATGAAAATTCTATAGCTTTCCTGGTAAATCAGTAGTCATCTTTTTTGAAATAGTGTAATGATAAGTTGCATATTCAGTTCAACGTATTAAAACGTTACGCTGGAAATAGCTTGATTCCATTTGATGTGTAGCTTTTCCTATACTATAGCTTTATTTAATTTCAATCATAGCAATGGTTTTGGTAATGCTGAAGAGAAACACCTCTATTGCTTTTCATTTTTCCTCAGCTTAGGTGTATTTTGTTTTATAGATAGAAATTTAATGTCAAGTGCTTCTTGCTTGTCGGTGTCAGAGCGTTCCTCCAGCGCAGCGTGTCGCTGGGATGACAACTTTGCTTAAAAGCAGACAGTGTGTGCTGGAGGGTGGGTTTCCTGCTGCTTTTTGCAGAAATAGATTTGAGCTGTGACTGGAATCTCCACGAAAGCCAATAATAACACTTTTGGAGTGGATCCCCATGCTGCTCTCTGGAGACCTTTTGATGATTCTTAATTCTCACCTTAAAATCTTCAGCTAATTTCGTTGATAAATCTCACTGAGCTTCCACTCTAAATTTAGGCATTTCAAAAGTTGACAAGAAGCTACGTCAAAGTGGTGGATTTTGCTACGGTCATTTTCACTAAAGTCCATTTTCAAATATAACTGCGGGGGAAGGTACTTGAGCTCTTGAACTGATTTGAATTTGGCTGTTTCTGCCCCTTTCTGCTTGTGGAGATTCCACGCTCACGGGCTCCCCTCCTCACCAGCTGCTTGATGTCCCTGGTTTCTGTGTTCAGGGGGAATTGCTGCTGGTGGCAGTGGGAAGGGACGCGGAGCCAAGCGCAAGCAGCAGGACGGAGGGACCACGGGCACAGCCAAGAAAACCAGGAGGTAAGAGGAAAGATGACACAGTGACACGGAGAGGAGCTGGAGCACAAGTCTTACGAGGAGAGGCTGAGGGAGCTGGGGGTGTTCAGTCTGGGGAAGAGGAGACTGAGGGGAGACCTTATCGCTCTGTACAAGTACCTGAAAGGAGGGTGTAGAGAGACAGGGGTCGGTCTCTTCTTCCAAGTTACAGATGATAGGACAAGGGGTAATGGGTTCAAGTTGCGCCAGGGGAAGTTCAGGTTGGATATTAGGAAACATTTCTTTACTGAAAGGGTTATCAGGCATTGGAATGGGCTGCCCAGGGAGGTGGTGGAGTCACCATCCCTGGAGGTATTTAAGAAACGTGTAGACATGGCTCTTCAGGGCATGCTCTAGTGCCCAAGATTACTGGTTTGTGGTGGGGTGCTGTGTTGTGTGTTTAGGTGGTGGGTGGTGTGGTGTTTTTTTGTGGTTTTTGTTTTGTTTTGTTTTGTTTTTTTTTGTTGGTTGGACTCGATGATCTCTGAGGTCCCTTCCAACCACTGCAATTCTGTGATTCTGTGATCTGTAGGGAGGTGTATGCTTGGCAGAGGGACAGCTTCACTTGTGATGCCTCTACCTGCCTCCTGCCTCCGTGGATTTATGGGGAATCGGGCCATAACCCTGTGATGTTATTGATAGGTCACCTGCTAGAAATTACCTGAAATTGATGACTATATGCTCATTTCCCACCACATGTTTTGGAAGCACAGCCCTGTCCTGGGCTGACTCCTGACTGCACCACAGCCACCCCGAGGTGCCAACCTGTGCTTTTGTGTTCCCCAGTGACCCGCTGTTCTCCGCTCAGCGCTTACCCCCCCACGGATACCCCCTGGAGCATCCCTTTAACAAAGATGGGTATCGCTACATCCTGGCCGAGCCTGACCCCCACGCGCCCGACCCCGAGAAACTGGAGCTGGACTGTTGGGCAGGAAAACCTATTCCTGGGGACCTCTACAGAGCCTGCCTGTATGAACGGGTCCTCCTGGCGCTGCACGACCGAGGTACGAAGCTGCCAACCCCGTGCAGGGTGTAGCTGTAACCTCACCTTACCCATTACTGAGGTTTTGGCCACAATTGCTTTAAGAATTGCAAATGTTCAATCCACTTCTGTGTGTTCGCTTGTGTCTTGACATCACCGCACGTCAGAAACCACAAATATCATCTCCTCTCATCTTCTGCAGCTCCTCAGCTGAAGATTTCTGATGACAGACTGACTGTGATCGGGGAGAAGGGCTACTCAATGGTCCGAGCCTCGCACGGAGTGCGGAAAGGAGCCTGGTACTTCGAAATATCCATGGATGAGATGCCTCCGGACACAGCTGCCAGACTGGGCTGGTCACAGCCACTAGGTAAATAATTTTACTAAGTATTTCTTAGCAGTGGATTCCAGCTGGTTTCTATATTTCTTTCCTCAGTAATTTTAGACCTAAGGAGGGCAGGTTGTGTTTAGCTTGCCTGATTTACTGCTTTTCTTGAAGGGAAACTCTTTCTGGAGCTGATCTAACCCCTGCAGAACTCCAAGACAGGTGGACCCTTGATGCTGTCGCGTGCTTGGCCTTGCTGAACGCTGTGGTACAACACGTTTGTACTAACAGCAGTCATATTTGTTAACTGAATGTAATTAACTGCTCCAAAACCTGCAGCAGGACACAGAGGTGCTCCTGCTCCACTGTGTGTTCACCAAGAAACGTTGGTTTCTGCAGGGAACCTCCAGGCACCTCTGGGATACGACAAGTTCAGTTACTCCTGGCGCAGCAAAAAGGGAACCAAGTTTCACCAGTCGATAGGGAAACACTATTCGTCCGGGTACGGGCAGGGGGACGTTCTGGGCTTCTACATCAGCCTTCCAGAAGATACTGAGACAGCCAAATCTCTGCCCGACACTTACAAAGACAAGGTGAGGTGTGGAGTTTGCTGTGGGATGAAGCATTGGCTGGGTGGGTGAGTGGGAAGCAGGCTGCTGGAGCCTCACTTTTGCCCCCTTTGAGCCCCCCCTTTCCATCCCGCCGCTGGGTACCACGGGTTTGTAGCGGGAGGAAGTGGTCCAAAGTGTTGGTCTGGAGAAAATGAAATCCTCAGACCCACCCAGAGGTTCTGCAAGGGAAGCCTGTGTGTGGGCTGCTGAATGAGAGCGCCCACATCTCGTGTAAATCTCCTCTTCCCCTCCTGGTTCTTAAATATTTGAGGTGTGTGAATCACTCTGCACGGGGAGCAGGCAGGCCTGGCCCAGCTCCTGGAGCTCTGTGTCACTAAAGGTGACAGTTTTTCTGGCTTATGTCTGAAGTTGGTTGTTTTCTGACATTTCAGGCTCTGATCAAATTCAAAAGCTACTTGTACTTTGAGGAGAAGGACTTTGTGGACAAAGCAGAGAAGAGCCTGAAGCAAGCACCCGGCAGCCAGGTGAGCCTGCCGAGACTGGCTTAGTGAGGGTATTAATCCCTGGCATTTAATGAGCACAAAGGGAGCCCGGTCATTAGTGCTTCATCAAAAAGAATGTTTTTATTAAAGCAACAAGAAAAGAAGTGAGCTTAGCAACCCAGCTGCACCCTCTGCTCCTCGTGTTCCTGCTGTCACTTGAGTCATGGTCTGGCACCAGCCAAGGGGAGCTGCCTCTCCAGGAACGGGTTGGAGTTCACCAGTGAGGTCACCAAAGTGAGCAGTGATGGGGAAGAAAAACCCTCTTCTATTTTCTTTTCAGATAATATTCTTCAAGAATGGTGCCAGCCAAGGAGTTGCCTTTAAAGACATCTTTGAAGGAGTTTATTTTCCTGCTATTTCTTTGTACAAAGGCTGCACGGTGAGTAACGTGTGCCTCAGTCCGTCGTGGTTTCAGTAACGCGGAGTGTGGGAGGGTGCCAAGTGAGTGAAGAGGGAAGATGGGAATTGTTTTAGTGAAGCAATTCTGGAATGATGCTGCTGCTCACTTGTGTGGTGTGGCGTTACCAAAACCACTCCTGTCACACCAGGGGGGGTTTGTTCCATGGGCTGGCACAGGGAGGCTCGGGAGTAGGGTGGGATGAGGACTGAAGGCTAAAGAGATTTGCCCTTTTGTTGTATCTAATGACATGTCTTTTGCAGGTTTCTATAAACTTTGGGCCGTATTTCAAGTATCCACCCAGAGATATCACTTACCGTCCGGTAAGTTGTTTTTTTACCCCCCTCTTTGTGACAGCCTCAAGGTATTTAAACAAAAGGTGGTTGAGATGTGGTTGGAGCTGATTTACACCAAGCCTGTATCTGCCCTCTTCTGCTGTCTGCTACTTGGATAGTGTACCAAAAAGGACTGTATTTAAAAATATTTAAGCCAAACAACTAACTTAGCTAAATTTTAAATAAATAGTAGGTGCTGCCGTGTTGCTCCTGCCAGATTATAAAGCCCCTGTTCTTGCCCTTGTTGGTCTCTTTGTATCAGTAAGAGGTCGAATTTGTGTTAGAGGAAAAATTTGGAATTTTTGTTTGCCCTTTCACCTTTGCAGATGAGCGACATGGGCTGGGGAGCGGTGGTGGAGCACACGCTGGCTGATGTCCTCTACCACGTGGAGACAGAGGTGGACGGGAGGCGAAGCCCCCCCTGGGAGCCGTAAGCGCCGCGGGCGGCGCAGGCTGGAGGAGGAGGACACTGTGGGTACCCAGGCCCGGGGGGTTATTCCAGAGGAACACACATCCCTTGGAACAAGCAGCCAACGAGCACCCAAGCTGAAGCCAAGGCAGGTCTTTGGCAGGATTTGTGTCTATTTGTCACCCGCCGGCGTCGCGGTGTCCCAGTGTGTGTCGTGCTGGTTGGGGGCATCTCCAGGAGCCTCCAGTGACTCCCAGTGTGGCTGGAGAAGCACGTGTGGTGTGGAGGTCACTTCTCCTGTGCTGTACCCAGGTTGTGTCAGCGACAGGGGCTGTAGCTGGGTGTCCCACTGTCCCTACACTGGCAGAAGCAACACTGACACTCGTGCTGTGCCTGACTGTCCCCTGCAGCCCCCGGCCAGAGGGAGGGTGTGACAAGACTACTGCATGTGAGACTCAAACTTGAGCTTCTGGCCAAACTGTATTATTATTTTTTTTTTTTTCCCCACAAACTGGAAACCAGTTTAAAAATAAAGGCTTTTACTCTTATTTTTTTATTTTTTTCTTTCTTGTGACTTCTTCTGAATGAGATTTAAACTCCGAGTAGCTCCACTCGAGAGAGCCCAGGAGCTGAAGATCCCGCTCGCTGCGATCGCCATCGCCACACATGGAATGAATAAATAATTTGACACCGTGTGTGTGTCTGGAGGAAAATAAATTAGAGCTGCTTTACTTGGGGGGGGGAGGGAGAAGGGAATTAAATTTTTAGGTAAGTGCTGTGTTTGTGTTTTTGGGGGAAGAAAGGGAATAAAACGTGAGGTTGAGCAAGTCCTGCGTTTGCTGACACCTCCTTCCCCATCAGGTGCCTGGGACCTCCCTAACGGCTAATTAGCCAAGGCCTTTATTAGCAGATGCTGCTAATTAAAGCTTTATTTATTTAGGGAGGTTGCAGGGGCAGCACACGCTCCGTGGAGCAAACGCAGGACTTGGCTCAGACTTTTGGTCCTGCCTTTGCACAAGGAGGACGTGCTGGCCCAGCCCTCCCCAACTAATCAGTTTTAATAAATAAAGCTTTGTTTATTTATTCACTGAAAATATGTATTAATTAGTAGTGTCTACTATTAAAGGCCTCGGCTAATTAGCACAGCTGTAATTAATTGGTGTCTGACTTGCCCCGTTACAAGATCCCTACGCACCCTGACCAAGGCCTGCCCCCCCCCCCGGCAGAGGTCAGTAGCCCGTGGCCACGGGCCGGGCCAGGCGCTGCCGGAGGTGGTTGGCGAAGTCCACCTGGGTCTGGGAGAGAACCTGGTTGATGATGGTCTTCGGGAGCCAGCCCTGGGGAGGAGCAGACACAGCCCATGAGCACAACCAGGCCCAGAATCCCCATCCTGCTGCTCCTTCCCCACCGTCCCCACCAAACCCACCTTGAGGTCGATGCTGAGGAGCCAGGTGAGCCTGGTCTGCGAGGGGCTGCCGGCCAGCGGGCGCAGGACCATGCAGGTGGGACCATTCTCTGCCCTGCAGGAGATCACAGAAGGGTTTTGGTGGGAAGGGACCTTAAAGATCATCCAGTTCCCTCCCCACCCATCTGGTCTAAATCTCCCCTTTTTCAGCTTAAAACCATTTCCCCTTGTCCTGTTGCTACGCAGGAGGACAGGAGGGTACGGGTTAGAAGGAACAGAATCACAGGATGATATAGGGTTGGAAGGGACCTCTGGAGATCACCCAGTCCAACCCCCTTCCCAAAACAGGTCCACCCAGAGCAGGTCCCACAGGAACGTGTCCAGGGGTGTTTGAATGTCTCCAGAGAAGGAGACCCCACCACCTCCCTGGGCAGCCTCTGCCAGGGCTCTGCCACCCTCACAGCAAAGAAGTTCCTCCTCATGTTGAGATGGAACTTCCCATGTTCAAGTTTGTGCCCGTTCCCTCTTGTCCTGTCCCTGGGCACCACTGAAAAAAGCCCAGCCCCATCCTCCTGACACCCACCCTTTCAGTATCTATAGGTGTTGATCAGATCCCCCCTCAGCCTTCTCTTCTCCACACTAAAAAGCCCCAAGTCCCTCAGCCTTTCCTCGGAAGGGAGATGCTCCAGGCCCCTCCTCATCTCTGGAGCCTCTGCTGTCCCCTCCCCAGCAGTTCCCTGTCCTTCTGGAACTGGGGAGCCCAGAACTGGTCCCAGTGCTCCAACTGGTGCCTCCCCAGGGCAGAGCAGAGGGGCAGGATGACCTCCCTCCACCTGCTGCTCACACTCTTCCTGATGCCCCCCAGGATGCCCTTGGCCTTCTTGGCTACCGGGGCACATTGTCAACTCATGGGCATCCTGGTGTCCTGAACGTCTGCCCCAACCTCACAAAGACCTCCAAGAACTAGATTTTCCCCAGCAGCTCCTGTCTCTGAGACAACCCCCATCCCTCCAACCCCACACTAAAAGCTGCTCTGTGAGTCTTTTTCACCTAAAAAAAACCCTGAAAGTGACTGCAAAATGCCCTGGCTGACCTGATGAAGCCCTCCTGCTCGGGCATGGCGCCGTAGGTGGTGGACATGCCGGCCAGGACGCAGGTGGAGCCGCGTCGCTTGGCGCAGCGCACGCTCACAAAGTCCCGGGGGCCCACGATGTTCCCGGGGGTGGCGGCCGCCTTCTCGTGGGTGATCACCGTGTCCTTGCCGATCTTCTGGAGAATCTGGAGAGTTTCCAACCAGAGCGTTAATTGGGGGCGTTCGCTGCAAGCGCAGCTAAAAGGCAGCTTTGATGCCTGTGTTCAAACACACGCTCAGAAAAACTCAGTGCCAACAGTGAGAAAAATGGGAAATCCGTGCTTCATCCCAGAGAACAAAACATTAGTTTTCAACACCTGGAAAGGGAAGGTGTTTCACTTATTCTGGACAAACTGGGGACGAGCAAAATGCTTTTCCCTGCAGGTTGGGGCATGGTGCTGTTTCTCCCCCAGTTACAGTGTGAATTTATCACCAGAGCTGGCCCATCACCTTGTAAGAAGGGTCCCCAGGAGGTAAGGACCACACATCCCTCCATCCCCTCCATCCTTCCCTCCATCCATCCCCTCTCTCCCTCCATCCCCTCCTGCACCAGCAGCACCATTTCTGCAGGACAACCTCTGCATCTGCAGCTGGGAGTGGAGAAGATAAAATCCAGCTTCTCCTTTCCCAAAAACTGGAAAGATCCCCATGGGTCCTGCTGGGATGGGGACAGGCACCCCTCTGGCCCCAGTACGAGTGGGACATGAGGCTGCGACAGGTCTGACCCCTGCTTCCCACCTTGACTTCTTTGACGCTGGGGTTCCAGTCCCCCATCTGCTCCATGTTGTCCACCAGCTCGCTGTACACCGTCTCCAGGGGCTGGTCCACCACCACCTCCAGCCGGAACACCTTGCCCACGTCCGGGAGCACCTTGCTCAGCACTTTGTCTCCGTTTCCCTGGCCGAGGGAAAGGCAGAATGAGCATCACACGCATTTTTGGGAGGACCCCATCATCACGCTGGGAGCCAGAGCACCTACCACCACCGTCTCCGTCTTCCAGCCATCCTGGTCCCCGAGGATGCTGAGTGACTTCTGCAGGGCTTCCTCTCCTTGCTTGATGTACGACATGTCCATCTCGTTGAAGGGCTTCTCCTCCAACCTCGAGCCTGTGGGGGATCACAGAATGATTTGGGGTTGGAAAGGATCTCTGGAGATCATCCAGTCCAACCCCGGCCAGAGCAGGTCCCATAGGAATGTGTCCAGAAGGGGTTTGAATGTCTCCAGAAAAGGAGACCCCACCACCTCTCTGGGCAGTCTCTGCCAGGGCTCTGCCACCCTCACAGCAAAGAAGTTCCTCCTCATGTTTAGATGGAACTTCTCATGTTCAAATTTGTGCCCATTTCCTCTTGTCCTGTCCCTGGGCACCACTGAAAAAAGACCAGCCCCATCCTCCTGACACCCACCCTTTCAGTATTTAGAGGTGTTGATCAGATCCCCCCTCAGCCTTCTCTTCTCCACGCTCAAAAGCCCCAAGTCCCTCAGCCTTTCCTCATAACGAAGATGCTCCAAGACCCAAATCACCTTCGTAGCCCTTTGCTGTCCCCTCTCCAGCAGTTCCCTGACCGTGATGGTCACCCCCTGATGGGACAGGACAGATTCCCCCTGTGACGGTCACCCCCTGATGGGACAGGACAGATTCCCCCCCCCGATCACCGGTCACTTACTGAGCAAGGAGCTTCTCCTGCGGACCTGGTGAATCCAGGCCCCGGGGCCGGCGCTGCGGCGGGCGAGCTTGCTCAGCTCCTGGCTGATGGCCACGGCCGCTTGTCTTCTCAGACCTGAGAGCAGAGAACGTGTCACTCCACGCTCCAGAGGGTTTGCTATATTATTTTTTTCCCCCACAATTTTAACGTACAACACTGAAAAAGTCCCCCCTCGCTGCCTTCGCTGGGGTCCCTGGGGGCACAGGGAGCAGCCGGGTGCCACCGCGCTGCTCCGGGACAGAGAGTGTCCTGCACAACCCCAGTTTTTCTCGGTGTTCGAGTTGGGGAGCACATGGGGAGTGGATGAAAGTGGTAAAAACACCAAGAAACAACCATTGGGGTGCCCAGAAATGGGGTACGAGAACACAAACCCCTCGTAGCCAGGAGGAACATCCCCCATAGCTACCCTCGGACCCCAGAAATGGGTCTGGGGGGGCACAAAGGGGTGGTGGAGCCAGCAGAACACAAACCCTGGCAATCAGGGGGGTTTGGGGGGGAACATCCCTGGAGTGTCCCCCAGCCCTGTGCCCTGTGTCCCCCCCAACACCCTGTTGTCCCCTCACCCGTCATGTTGCGCAGGTGGCGGTAGGAGATGGCGGCGCAGAGCTTGGAGGTGGCGGGCAGCATCTCGGCGGGCAGCAGAGCCGTGGGGCTGCGGGCGAGTGTCTCTGCGGCGGCGGCGAGTCCTCCTCTGTCCCGGGCTCTCCCTCTGGGGCGCTCGGCCTTAAATGCGGCGGCTGAAGGATGCTGGTGTGTCAGCAGGGAGATAAGAGCCATCACTTACGGCAGGGCCACGGGGGGGCAAGGACGGAGCCGGCTCCTCGCGCAGCTGCCGGGGGCCACGGGTCACCAATGCGGCACCGGGACGGGCTTGTATGCTGTGCTGGCACAGGAGACCCCTCCCAGCCCCCCCACCAGCCATAGGGGGCACAAACAGCCCCCAAAAAACAAGCTGAGGGCAGCGAAATGAGGTATAGACCTCCCCCACAACCCTGCTTCACCTCATATGGAATCACAGAATTGTTGGAGTTGGAAGGGACCTTCTAGAGACCATCCAGTCCAACCCCCTGCCAAAGCAGGGCTGCCTAGAGCCCATCACTCAGGTGCATCTTAAAGATCTCCAGAGAAGGGGACTCCACACCCTCCCTGGGCAGCCTCTGCCAGGGCTCTGCCACCCTCAAAGTAAAGTTCTTCCTCAGATTTGAGTGGAACTTCCCCTGCTCCAGCTTGTGCCCATTGCCCCTCGTCCTGTCACTGGGAACCACAGAAAAGAGTCCGGCTCCATCCTCCTTCAACCCACCCTTGAGATCCTTGGGAGCATGAAGAAGGTCTCCCCTCAGCCTTCTCTTCTCCAGGCTCAAGAGCCCCAGCTCTCTCAGCCTTTCCTCGTAAGGGAGATGCTCCATGCCCTTCACCATCTTTGTAGCCCTCTGCTGTCCCCTCTCCAGCAGTTCCCAGTCTCTCTGGAACTGGGGAGCCCAGAATTGGATGCAGAATTCCAGTTGTGGCCTCCCCAGTGCAGAGCAGAGGGGGACAATGACCTCCCTCCACCTCCTGGTACCCCCAAACGTGCGTGGGACTGGTGGGGGACTGGGATGGCCATGGGCAGCACCAGGGATGCTTCACACACGTCGCACGGGCAAGAGTGTTTTGGAGGATGCTCAGTCCTCCCCCCGCAAACGCAGCCTCCCTGTAACGCTGAATATTAAGTGTATTAAGGCAGTGGGAGTGAGGGGCAGCCCCTGTCGTGTGTGTGTCCCCCCCCCAAGAGGCTGGTTGATCTGCGTGGGGCTGGGAGCGGGGGGCAGGGGCGATAAGGCTCAAGGATGAGATGACATTTGTGGGATGAGTTACGGCCCCGCAGCCCCGGGAACCCGGGAACCCGTGAATCACCAGCTGCTTCCTTTGACGTCAGCCCCGCACCCTCCTGCGGGGGACCTGACCTTCCTCCCCGCTGTCGCAACAGCTTGGGCCCAGGGGGGAGGTCAACCCCCTTTCCTGCACCCCCACCTCAGCCCCGGGGACCCCCTCGCCTCCCCCAGCCCCCCGAGAGACAATGTGGGTCCTACCTGCCATGGGGAACGGTCCCCACTGCTCCCCGGGACGGCTCCTCTTCATCACGAGGAAGAGGAGACCCCTGGTACCCACCTTGGTGATGGGTAAATGGATGGGGGTGCTGGGGGGAGGAGATGGGGGGGCAGGAGGAAGCCAGAAGCTGCACCATCCCCTTCCCAAACATTTACCGGGAAATCCCTGCTTGCAGGGGTGCTGCAAGGTGGGACCCCCATCCTTCCTTCACCCCCTGGCAGGGCTTCACCCACCTGCTCCCCACACACCTGCGGTTGGGGGGGTGTTAAATCCCTGAGATGCTGCCGGGAGCTCCCAACCCTGCAGCTCGTGCCAAACACACACCGAGCACCCAGGGGTGCCCAGGGAGAGGGGGTGAGACCCTCCCAGCCCCCCTGCACCCCTCACCCTGCCCTGCTGGGGACGCAGCCGGAGCACCCCAGGGATGGGGGGCGGCAGGGAGACCCCCCCCCCAGCCGTGATCCGTCCGGGAGCGCTGTTATCCCAGAGGGAGCAGGCGCTGCCAGGCACAAGGACTCGGCACAAGGACACGCTGTTGTTTGTGAGAAGAACCAAAACAGCCCAGGGCAGAGCCACCCCTGCGGCTCCGGGATGGGGGGGCTGGGGGAGCAGGAGCCCCTCGGGAGGGGACAAGAGGGACAGTCACCCTGTGCCACGGGGCACGAGGTCAACACCCCGGAGCCACACACCGAGACCCACAGCCTGGTGGGAAGCTATGCCAAAAAAGGCACCCAGGACCTCCAGGAGGGTCTGGATTGGGACAATCCCCCCCCAAAGCCCTCACCAGCTCCTGATGTCACCTTGGCATCTCCTCCAGATGTCCCCTGGGGGTCCCACGCTGTCACCTGCTACTGGGTTGCCCACTGTGTCCATCGAGCCTGAGAGGAAAAGGGACGGCAGCCCTCCCGTGGCACCGGGATGGCACCAGGGATGGCAGCAGGGATGGCACCATGGCACCAGGGATGGCACTGGGGATGGCACCATGGCACCACAAGCACCGGGGATGGCACCATGGCACCAGGGATGGCACTGGGGCTGGCACCATGGCACCACAAGCACCAGGGATGGCACCATAGCACCAGGGATGGTACCACAAGCACCAGGGATGACACTGGGGAGGGCATTCAGGTCCCAGCACCTACCTCGGGCACCAGGATGGTGCCCCTCCACCAGGACAGGAGGGAGCGTGGCTGGTCTGTCCAGCTGAGCCCGTGTGTGCCCCCGGCACCGCTCACCTTCTCGGGACAGGATTTGGCCCTGGCCACAGCTGGGACCTGCCCGGACCCTCGGCTGGCAACACCGAGCCGGGCTGGGGGGGCTGGGGACAAGGGGGGTGCACAACCAGCGAGGGGACACCTGGGGAGGTGGCACGGCCCCGCTCTGGGACAAACACCCAGCACCCCCCCACACCCCCCATCCCGGGGGGCAGGAAACACAGGGGGAGGAAAAACAGCCCCCGTTGAGCCCCCGTCAGCCACAAAACACCCCCCCCATCCCCCACAAAACACACACCCCCCATCCCCACACAAAGTCACCAGGCAGCTCCGTTTGCAGCTTTTAGCTTAAAAATATACATCCAGGCGCTCAACGTACAAATATTTACATCAGTTTACAAATGTACAAAAAACCCGATCGAATGTAAACCGAAGGCAGAGATTCACCAGGGCCCAAAGGCACGGGGAGGGGGGGGGAGAGGGGGGGCCTGGGCACCCACAGCACACACACCCCC